AGAAAATGCGTTGGTCACGACTTAGTATGACACCCACCCTCGCAGCTGCTCCTCTTCCGACAGCATGGATTCAAGCATATGCACTAGAAAATTGTCAGGGCTCCTCCTCCTTGTCAGAATAACCCCTTGAGTTTGTTGCAAAGCAGCTGCACTTAGTTTTACAACTCCTGCTTGCATTAACTTACCCAAATTAACTTCTAAGTGCCGATTTTAAAGGGACTAAAAGCAAATGAGAATAGCAAAATTAGTCCCTTTGCTGTTCTTCCTCACATCTTGACTTCTATTTCTGTTCCTGCCACTCACCAGCAATCTGCCAGCAGGTAAATCACTTCAGGGTTTCTGCTTCCCTTCAAACTTCTCATCTATTTAGATAATAATTTTGCAGAGTAATAGCTGTCTTTAGATGCAAAGTGGGTCTGTGCTCAACAAGTGCCTCTGCGTGCTGCTGTACAATATTACTGCTAATTGTCATCTTGTGCTTCAGCATATGCATGGTCACATGCCTCTGAGATTATCTCAGCTTCACTCATTACAACATCCCTTTGTTTTTTGTATTTTAAACTAGTCTGCATGGGAACAAAGACATCCATGTGTCTGAGAAATAATGCCAATACACTCAAACTCCTGCAGTACCTACAGACATAAGACGGTGTGTCTAAAAGCTTCAGACACACACAGAACTGATGTAATTAACACTGTTGTTGAATGAAGGGGACGTGGGTGTACCTAATTATACCTATGCGTAATGCTTTAAATCCACATTATGCCCAAAGTATAGTGATGAATACATGCTCATCTGATGGCATCAGCTTAATTTCCTCTCTAATTAATCAAGAAGTACGTAGAAAGTTTCCACTGGATTGGTTCTATCACAGTAATTGATCATTACACTGGTGATACCATGACACACAATCGAATAATCAGAAAGACTGAGTGAGCGCAGAAAACAAAAAGGTCACAGGGACAAATGGCAGGTGGCCCTGAACAGAGACCTGAGCTACTTGCCCAAAGACATGCCTGGTGTTACTCAGATTAGCCTCTCAGCTCAGGTGTGTACACAGGAATATGGATGTATGAAAGACCCTGTGGTGTAAGTAGTACCTGCAGTCTGAATCTGCAATGCTTTCCTTGAAACTAGTGTCTACATTCATGCCTCAGTCACCTATAGCTTTTGGTGAGGGAAGGCAGAGAGACTTGAGTGTTTCATAGAAAAAAAGAGGAAAAAAACAAGTGTTCACATGCCTCTATTACCATAATCCCTAATAATACGGGAAGATTATCAAGCAGAAAGTTCAACAGGTGAGTTGGTTTACCATGAGGGTAGTGAGGCACCGGCACAGGTTGTCCAGAGAAGCTGTGGCTGCCCCATCCTTGGCAGTGTTCAAAGCCAGAATGGACTGGGCTTGGAGCAACCTGGTCTAGTGGGAGGTGCCCCTGCTTGTGGCAGGGGAATGGAACTGGATGAGCTTTAAGGTCCCTTCCAACCCAAACCATTCTGTGATTCTATGATTTTTGATCTGTGAGAACCTCGATGGTGTGGATGCCACAAGCAGGCAGGGTAGTAGCAGGATACTGTAAGAACAGGAAATACTTCCTGGCATACAGTAATAGTTACGCTGGGTTATTTTCACATCTGCTAAGTGCACTTCCTCCACCTCTATCTGCCAATGATCAAGACCTGCCACAAATGCTCTTTATGGCGTGAAATCCTGCTGGGCATCAGCATGCAGTGGCAATCAACCAGAGCCAGGGGGGAGCCGAGGTGTGCACACCATGTCTATGTATCAAGGTGAGTGGCAGGCCACTGCACACAGATAGGCCACAAACACTCACAATCCCCATCAATCTGCTAGGACAGCTGATGGCTCTGAGCATCCCAAACTGGAATGCACATTCATGACAGGAAAAAGCCTTCCTGACTTTACCCGCAAGCCAGTCAGCCAAAGGGAACCTGACAAATCTTGCACCAGTCCCTGTGTCCTGCAATAAAAGCCTGAACCCGGTGAGCCAAGTCACTACTGGAAGGAGACAGAAACCCACCACTGCTGTAAGCCTCAGCTACTCCACTTAGTCACCTCTCTCATTGGCAACAGCCAAATTCAAGAAAAAATTCTCACACCACCTATGCTTCCAGAACTGACAAATGCAGAATAGCCAAACTGCCAGCAATTTTACATTATGATCACATACTTTGCAGCTGAACTGAAAGTCATTTGTAGTCACCTTAATTACAATAAATACCATGCATGTTCGCCAACGTAGAGAAGCTCATTTGTTTCTCCTTTGTCTCCATAAGATAGGCATCTCTGTTACAAGACTCCAACTTTAAATTAAAAACAGCCAGATAGGCTAGGGCTGTGCTATACAGAAACAGAGCATCAAAAGCAGGCTCTGATTTTCATTACTTTTGATTTATCTTGGATTACTCTGGATTTACAATTTACATAACTTCTATGAAGTTACAACAGGTGAAGTTCTACCAAAGAACTTCTGCATCAGATGAAGTCACACCAAATGAGAAATGTTTTGTCTCAGTCATCAACACATCAGTCATTAACAAGTTGTTGTAGTAATTAGTATACATATTTAATCATAGAAGAGTTTGAGTTGGAAGGGACCTTAAAGCTCATCTAGTTCCACAAAACCTGCCATGGGCAGGGACACCTTCCACTAGACCAGGTTGCTTAAAGCCCTGTCCAACCTGGCCTTGAACACTGCCAAGGATGGGGAAGCCACAGCTTCTCTGGGCAACCTGTGCCAGTGCCTCAGCACCCTCACAGGGAAGAATTTCCTAATATCTAATGTAAATCTCCCTCTGTCGGTTTAAAACCATTAATCATACCGTTGATGATGGTTGCTACCAAGTTCTTCAGGAGAAAGTATGAGTCCTGGCAATTTTTCAGACTTGTTTACTTCAGGAATTACTCCAGAAGAGCAATTTCTGTTAATCACAGAAAGCAAAATACCATTCTCTAAAATAAATATGACTTTTGTACAGCAGAAATAATTCATTCTTTTTGCAAAATTAGATCATGATCACCTGTTCTCAATTTGGAATAGTTATGCTATTTGATGTTCCTCCATTTCTGTAACATAAACAAACTTCTGTTGCAGATGAGGTCCAGCATGGACAAAGACTGCTGGCTCCAACGGCAAAATTATTGCTCTGACAAATGGGACTGGTAACAACTCTCATATTCTGTTTCTGTGGAGGAAAGTGTATGAGTTATTACCAGTGACACGAAGAAAGTTGTTCCCACCTACAGCTGCTGTCAGCTACACCTCTTGACAGCAGACAAGCTTTCATGCCTCTTCTGGTATGAAATCAGAGCAACTAATGAAGGACAAACTTCACATTATGATTTTTTGTTTTTTTCCTGGCAGAATTAATGAGAGGAAATTGAAGGCTTCCAAATCATGTTGCCAGATATGTCTGGAGCTGACGGTTATTCCCCTACTGCAAGTGGCAGCCTTAAAGCTGAGCTGTGAATTTGCTTTGCAGTGGGTTAGATACAGTAATGGTATATACCACAATTTTGAAGTCCCTGCTGTCAAATCAGAAATTCAGAAAAAGCTGAAGGCAACTCCTTGGAATAAAGATGTGAGGACAGAAATAATGCAAAATGTGCAAGTGGAAATAAAATTCATAGTTCATCTTAGACACACTCAGCATGTTAATGCCTCAACTGTTCTGTTCATTTGCTACCTGTTTTCAGGGCCCTGAGCCATATGCTATCAAGGCATAACCCAATGTAATTTAATCTGAACTCTTCAAATGTTACATTTGCTGCAGAACTGTTCTCGAGAAAACACTTCTCTGAAATTTCTAATTATTTAGAAATCTAAGCTGTGAACTTTGCTCTTTGGCATCAGGTTTATAAACCATTTCAGATACATCCTTTGCAAATCCTGAGCACAGAGACTTTAGAGGAGTTAAAAATCTGTAATTTCCACCTCCTAGAAACCAGCCATTCCCAACTGCAGTTCTGGCAATCAGCCACTGACATGAGGCTCTCAAGATACACAGAAATGATACAGGCATGAAAAGGGGGAGATGTTCAACCGACTGTTTGCATGGTCGTGAACAAGTCCAAAGAAAAGAGAAAATGCACAAGAAATCCCACAACATGGAGACAGCGTGGGCAGAGTCTAAGTGCCTATTTATCCTCCTACAATGCATTTCAACACAACTGCTTGAGTATTTTCATTTGAACCAATTAAATCTGAAAGAAAACATTTTTGCTTAAATCAGCATAAGAAACCAACGTTAGTATCAATGTAAGAATATATAAAATCAAACATTTAAATCAAGGTAAGAAAACTAAAAGGTGGTTTCCCTAAAACATTTTGTTGACCAAAAATAATTAGCTTTCAATAAAGCACTGAGAGAAGTATTTGAGTGTTTTCTTTTAATCTATGTCCAGACTTAACTGAGATGCCCCTTCCTCTTACCTTGCTGCAGTATGTTCTTTGAACAGTAGATTTAGATTAGCTATTAGGAAGAATAATATCACTATGAGGGTGGTGAGGCATTGGCACAGGCTGCCCAAAGAATGGGGGCATAGGCTGCTCCATCCCTGGCAGTGTTTAAGGCCAGTTTGGATGGGGCTTTGAGCAACCTGGTCTAGTGGATGGTGTCCCTGCCTGCGGCAGGGGGGTTGAAACTAGATGTTAGAATTATCCTTCTAATTAAACCATGAATACCATGAAGTCTGTCCATAGCAATGAACATCCCTGACATTGGGTGAAAATGTAAATCCTGATATAAAATCCAGAGAGTGATAAATAGAGAGCAATAAATCAAAACTGTTCTGCAAATCCTAACTTTGCTGACAAAACAGAAAGCCCCTGAAAACAGCTTCTCTAACTTGCTCCTGCATAGCTCCCACCGCTGTGAGGCTGCAGACTGTCACGTATGTTTTAAGCATGAGAACACCACCAAAACAGAAAAGACCATGGGAACATCAAACAACTAGGGAGGCTTGCTGCTGGAAGCCTACCTGTTTTATTAGAGAGTCGGAAGGACACCATCTTGTCAGGGATGCTGCAGACATTCCTCACTGAGGCAATGCAGCTGTAATTTGCGTAGTCCTGAGGTCGTAGGTTCTTCAGCTTCAGGATCTTGGTTTCTCCCTGGGTGTGTAAGAGTGAGCATTAGGAAAGGACCAAGGCAGAGGAGCAAGCAGGGATACAGGAAACACCAAGACTAGCTTTCAAAAGGCAAGAGGAAGATTCAGAGGTGGTTAATTAGAAGCAGATGTTGACATGGTCCAGAAAACATATTTTATTTAATTATCTGAAAGAATGGTATCTGGCATATCCTAAAACTGTAGCTCCATTTACATATTGAAGGCAAAAGAAGAGCATCGAAGGGGAAATTGGTTTGAGAGTCTTTCATGTCACAGCATTATTCGGCATGACATTTCTTAAGGTACAATCTGCATGATGAAAAAAGTCACAAGGTACAGAAATCCTGCTGTTTGACTTTGAAAAAAAAGTTGCTGATGGATTTTATTTTTAGCCAGCAGTGTAAATGATGGAGCAGGAACCTGAATGGGATATGTAATGAAGGAGTTCCTTCAGACACAATCAGAAGAGAACTGGAAAATATGACATTTTCCAGTACTATGTGAAATGGGCACCTCAGAAACAGAAAGTCAAGTGAAAAAGTAAGCTGCTGAAAAACGCATGCAAAATCTTACAGCACTATTTGCAACAGGAGTAAGAAAAAGGCAGAAGGAGTGTTAGATACAAAACCCTGAGAACACAGAGGTGTCATGGGGTAGAGCAGGGAGAAAGAATGCATGGTAAGCACAGTAAAGCACAACAGCGTGTCAGGTGTGGGGACGCAACAGCATGGAGGGCTGCAAAAACATTTAATAAATCTACATGTACCAATACTTGCACATTATTAATTCTAGCATTAAAATAACAAAATTCCTTAGGCTTTCAATCTCATCCTCCAGCTGCCCCCTTTTAAGTCTATGCCTGTGTTTATACTGATAAGCTAAAAATGTATTATGGTGAGACAAGGTTAAGGCACAACCCTGTCCCTGGGAGACACTCTGAATGTGCTCACAAAGCATCAGAAGGGCAATTTTTGGAAAATTATCATTGTCATTTGTTCTGTTAAAACTGAACAACTTTTCATATACCACATCTTGAGTAACATATTGAATTTTTTTCACAATTTGAAATTTTGAACAGTTTGAATTTTTGCACAGTATAACAGGCACAGACTGCCCAAGCCTACATAAGTAAAAACCCAGTAGCTAGTGAAAAAGCATGTATGGAACTAGCAAAAAAACCCAATACAATAGAAGGGAAAATATTAGCCAGACAAGAAAAGAAACAGTAGTTGAAACCAAGCTTGGTAGATGTTTGGAGCATGGGAACTGAAGTGATTTGTATATGTAAATCAGTCCCACAGAAATAATGAGATTCAAATTAAGCACATGCTGATTTACTGTTTGCCTTTGAAAGGCTGCTCCTAAAGATAGAGATCCTGCTTTAAAAAGAGTTTTAACTGGGCTAGAAAAGGGCCCAATCCAGGTTAGCAGAAACGCAGCTACCAAAGTTGTTGAGTTCTGGAAAGACAAGGCAGCTACACCTCCTCAATTCAATCCTCAGCTCTACATTCCAAGTTGAACTTGTGGGCTGAGCTCACAATGGTATTCTGGATCATGTCCTCAGATTGCAGAGATATATAAAAATGTATATATTTTCCTCACTGGCTTGGATAATTAGTCTAATTATGTCTAATTGCATAATTACTGTAAATACAGCAAATTTAATCTTGTAGTCAGGCTGTGCAATTACAATGTGCAATGAGGATGATGCAGACTCTTAGGAAAAAATTCAGCACCAAGACTTTGGGTTTGAAAAATTCAGTATTTAAAACACTCCTGCAGATGTGAATGTTTGTGTTTGTTCAATTTCTTTCCTCACAGCAGCTAAAATAAGCAGCTGATGTTACCTGATTCATTGAAAAAATCTGCCCAGAGTTCAAGAATTTACTTGTATATGCCCAGTTTCACAGGTGCCTTCTATGGGCAAGAAAAACTAGTCTTTTTTGGGTAAGTTCCTGAAAAAAAAAACTTGTGCTATGATTTGTTTCCCTTTACATTTCATATCATTTTCAGATTATTAATCCACCTTCAAAGCACTCAACAACAAAAAAACTACAACACCTAAATACATATCTCATGATGCTCTGAAGTCAAATCCCCTCTATCCCTCTTCACAGCAGCTCTATTTGTTACCTTATCATAAGCTGCACCAATTACATAGAAATATGCAGTAGACATTTACAACTCTTGAAATTTCAGTAACATCTTCTCCTTTTATAAACATGTATCAAATCTCCTAGGCACACAGACAAGATACACTAATTCAAACTGACCTCCAAAAAATGTAAAAAGGTTATGGATAAGCTTTCAATTATCAACATGACAATATGATTTACTTGTTAATTCAGCCCAGACAGAGGTTCTAGGAAACATACTCCTAGTAACCTAGAAATATATCGTTTAAATTGAATTTATTTTCATGTGACATATTTTATTAGTTATGTTCTTATTACATGATAGGGAAGCATTCCCATATTGAGATACAAAACAAAAAGTTCCACATCAAGAGTTTCTCATTTTTTCAATTAAAACATTAAAAAAAAAATTCCCATTTACACACTTGAGTCCAAGAAAACAAGCCGCAGATTTGTTAAACCAGGTCCATACATGTTATATTAAAAATAATCTCATCACATTTAGTAGACCAATAACATGACTATGTAATCTAATTCGCATCTCTGCAAGGTTCCAGGCTACACGTTTCTCAGTAAAATACCAAGCCATTGTAGCAATATAAAGCTGTCAAGTACAATAAAAAGAAAAAATGAAGGTGCTCTCAAATCATTAGCTGAAGATTATTTATGAAAGTTGAAGGTTGCTTTCTCCTATCAGAACCAAATTACCAGGCAGTTTTCACCTCTGTCTTTACTCGTTATTGCTTGAGACTTTCCAAAACATGTTATTTTTGCCTTCTTCCTTTCTTTTTTTTTTTTGAGTTTTTTTTTCTTTTCAAACACCATCACACTTTTGTCCACAGACAACAGGATATGCCACCTTTTCATTCCAAGACTGTGCAAATGCACTAACAATAGATTAATCTGATCTAATCTGGCACACTCTTTTGACGGCCTGGTCTACCTTCACAGCTGCGAGGAGAGCAGGAAGACTTAAAAAAGAATTTCTTCCCTTTTTTGTCACCTAATTTTTTAAGTCTATAATTCTGCAACAAAACTTATATTCGAAGAAGGGAAAGGCAGAATAAAAACAAACAAACAAAAACCCCACAAACAAACCCCCAAACAAAAAAAAACAATCAAAACCACAGGGAGTTGCCAAAGAGTTTAGCCTTCTTGAAAAGCTTTTTAGGCTGTAACTTCCATGCAGAATCACTTTGCATTGTACTGGAAAAGCTTAGGAAATTGCAGTCAAATCAGATGTTTGGGCTTGTAGCACCCAAGCAAAAGGACTTCAAAAGGGCTCCTGCAGACAGCACTCATCGTGCACCTTCCCATAATTTCCTATTTCACAATTTAAAAAAAGAAAGAAGATATATTTTATATTAGGATGTCTTACAATAACATATGGGTGCACCTGTGCTGGGGTGTAGTTATCTGGAGGGCACGCCCACGTATCCCCAGCATAGCCCAGCAGGGACGTACAGGCAGATCCACCAAAGAATCTGGTGCAAGTAGCCTAAGGAAAGAAAAAACCCTGTACTTTCATTCTTACCTGGGTAAAGAAGGGCTCATAGATCTCCACTCCTTTATCAGACCCTTGCAGCAGTACCTCTTGGCCACGTCGCCAGCTGTACCGAACGGGTGGATTGGAGTTGGCAACACACCTGAGAAACACTGTTCTCTCATAGTAAAACTGTTCTTTTGCTTCCCCAATGCTCTGGTGGACTGTTACTATTGGATCATCCAAATCTGGAAGGACAGAAAGAACAACCAAGATAAAGTCAGGCTTCAGTGGACTGTACGTTTCTTCAAGGGGAAGTGCGTGCATCTCATTGTATACAAGACAACAGCAAACTGAAGGCAATACAGCTCTCTAAAAGCCACAAACATAGATTTTCAGACTTTTGAAGCAAAACTCAGTTTTAGAGATTTTTATTTTTTTTTCATCTGCACAGCACCTCCCACAACTTGGTCTTCATTTTTGACTCAGTCTTTTGTATATATTATATATACATGATATCATACATGATAATGTAAATCATATTTCTGTTGTGTTTCCACTAGTACTTAAGGTTTCATCTGGTTTTCATCTTTACTACTTGTTTCTTATGTATGATTTCAATTTAAATGTCTCTTAGACAAAATAGTTTATAAAACTTTGGAAATAAACAGACTAATTTGCATACTAATGTAGGATCCAGTAGAACATAGACCATGAGCATGCAGCTGTTTTCCTTTAAAGCAGTAATTCAATACAGCAATTTAATGCATTCTCCTTTCTTTTAGTTACATGCATTTAATGCCAAGCAGGTAAATTCATCACAGGCTTTAGAACACACTTCTCTTGATTAAAATACAGGTATCATATAATTACTCCCACTGCATAAGCTCAAAGAAAATTAGATCCCCACAACAGAATTCATTCATCTTGTATAGGGAAGAAATAACGATAGCCCCTTGGAATATGAGTACACCTAATTAATTAATTCGGGCTTTATTCCATCAGGAACACCCTGTTCACAGAGTGTTACTATTGTGTTTATTATGAGCTTTCTCTGAAGGTACAAATACACTGAAGAAAGAAAAAATAGATAAAAAAAGAAATGGCTATTTTACTAAGTACTAGTTATAAACATTCAACCTCCAAACAACATGGTAAGCAAGTCTCTGGCAAGCTTTAGGAACAAGTTACACTGCCCAGAGGGTTGGCAGCCAAGGGAGACTTACTTCTTGAAGTCTAGCCCCTGTGTTTCAATTGTACATCCAGCAGTTACAACACAGGCACTAGTGCTGTTACCCACAGAGAGTAGGAACAATTTGCCTCTACTGATCTACAATACACCTCTACCGATCTGGTCTGCAAGCACACAGCAACACATCCCCATGGGCAACTCAGCCTTTACTGAATTTCAGAACCTTACCAGCAGTATTTCTTCTTAAAACAAAATGTAAATAATGCTTTAAACAGTGCTTAATTAATTGCTCATCCACAAATCTAACCCTATGTTTGCAGAGTCTTGTGTGACTAACTACTCAAATTCATCAGGGTTTTTTTGAGGCCAGGATTCAGTGAAATGCAGACCAAGGTGCTCAAAGCTTAGCATGGTCACCAGTGTCAAAGGGAATGTGTCCATGCACAAAGGCACCTGCACACTTGAGTCCCTTTTCAAAGGTGTTGAAAACAAGGACAGTTATTTTGGAAGATGAATCACATGTGTTTTTCGACACTGTCCCACATGACATCCTTGTCTCTAAATTGGAGCGATATCAGTTTGATGGGTGGGCCACTTGGTGGATAAAGAACTGGCTGGATGGCCGCACACAAAGAGTTGTGGTCAATGGCTCAATGTCCAGCTGGAGACCAGTAACGAGTGGTGTCCCTCAGGGATCGGTGTTGGGACCGGTCTTGTTCAACATCTTTGTCGCTGACATGGACAGTGGGATTGAGTGCGCCCTCAGCAAGTTTGCCGATGACACCAAGTTGTGTGGTTCGGTTTATACGCTGGAGGGAAGGAATGCCATCCAGAGGGACCTTGACACACTTGTGAGGTGGGATGATGCCAACCTCATGAGGTTTAACCATGACAAGTGCAAGGTCCTACACCTGGGTGGGAGCAATCCCAGGCACAGCTACAGGTTGGGCAGAGAAGAGATTCAGAGCAGCCCTGTGGAGAAGGACTTGGGGGTGTTGGTCAATGAGAAAATGAACATGAGCCGGCTTCAGTGTGCACTTGCAGCCCAGAAAGCCAACCGTATCCTGGGCTGCATTAAAAGGAGCGTGACCAGCAGGTCAAAGGAGGTGATCCTGCCCCTCTACTCTGCTCTTGGGAGACCTCACCTGGAGTATTGTGTGCAGTTCTGGTGTCCTCAACATAAAAAGGACATGGAACTGTTGGAACAAGTCCAGAGAAGGGCCATGAGGATGATCAGGGGACTGGAGCACCTCCTGTATGGAGACAGGCTGAGGAAGTTGGGGCTGTTCAGCGTGGAGAAGAGAAGGCTGCGTGGAGACCTCATAGCAGCCTTCCAATATCTGAAGGGGGCCTATAGGGATGCTGGAGAGGGACTCATCATTAGAGACTGTAGTGACAGGACAAGGGGTAATGGGTTAAAACTTAAACAGGGGAAGTTTAGGTTGGATATAAGAAGGAAATTCTTTCCTGTTAGGGTGGTGAGGCACTGGAATGGGTTGCCCAGGGATTTTGTGAATGCTCCATCCCTGGCAGTGTTCAAGGCCAGGCTGGATGAGGCCTTGGGTGATATGATTTAGCCTAAGGTGTCCCTGCCCACAGCAGGGGGATTGGAACTAGATGACCTTAAGGTCCTTTCCAACCCTAACGATTCTATGATTCTATGATTCTATGATCCTATGTCCTTTCCCCAAGTACCACTCAAACTCCAGTATATTGTGTGAGATGGACCATCACTGTAGCAGCTCTTTAAAATTTCAGGGGTTTGGCAGTTTGAAAAACTAGAGGTGAGGCAGAGGCACATGGAAACCCAATGTTAACAAACTGAATAGATTAGCATGTTTCAAACATCCACACTGTAAAGCAGCTTGCATTTAAAATTATTCTTTAGATGCTTATTTTCATTTGCATAACAAGAGCAAAGCTTGAGAGTCTCTTGATTAATTAGAAACAAAACATGTTCCAAAATGTGGAATAATTCAAGCAATAATACCTTGTAATGGTGCATGGATTTTAAGTAAATGTTACCTTAATTCTAGTCTACAAAACATTTAATTTAATATCACAGAAACAAATTATGGAACTGTTGTTCCAAATTAGGATGGCATTTTCTAATAAGATTTCATTTTTGTTTTAAAGGTTATTTTAAATCACTGTAGTATATGAAAAGGAATGAGATTGCTGAAACGTTATATCTTCTATCCATGCACTAGAAAAAAAAAAGAAAAAGGAAGGAAAACAGCTTGCTTCAGTTTCTAGGGCAAAACAGCTGTTTACTGTATTTTGATCAACAAGAAAACATTTCACACATGAATGCTCTCCAGGGTCTGCTTATTAAAGTACATACTTGGACCACAAACAAGGATGACTGGCAGCCAAGAGCCTCCAACACCAAATTCATTGGACCGCTCCTCAAATTTTTCACCCTTAGGTAACAGTGAGTCCTCTTAGTTGAAGCACACACAGAGTCCAAGTCTTGACTTAGCTTCATTTTGATGAAGTTACTTAAGACCACACACACTAAATCACTTAAAGCCTAATATCAGGAGTTAAGGCAACTTTGAGGCATGCCAGAGTAAGGTGGCAATCAACACCCTACCACAAGGCAGTCTGAGGCTGACTGGACAGAAAACAGCTTTGCAGAAGAGGCTGTGGAGGTCTTGGTATTGAAGCTGAACAGGAAGTGGCTGACCACGTTCCAGGCTGCAACAGGAGAGTGCAGTCAGCAGGCCCAGGGAAATGATCCTTCCCCTCTACCCCATATCTGTGAGACAGCTGAGCATCCTGTCCAGGTCAAGACATGGATGTACTGGAGCAAATGAAGGAAGCCACCAAGAGGACCGGAGAGCTGGAACAGGTGCTGCAGAAGCAGAGGCTGGGTGAGCTGTGTTGGCTAGCCTGGAGAAGGTAAGATGAAGAGGAGATCTAATTTCTATCTTTGACTGACTACCAGGAAGTTACAGAGAAGGCGAAGGAAAACTCTTCTTAGAACTGCAGAGTAAAAGACCATGAGGTATAAGTTGCACCAAGATAAATTCTTCCTGGTTATAAATGAAAACAAATTCCCCATGCAATTTTTACAAGGAGCACCGTGGAAAAGACAAAGGGTGATGGGCGCAAGTTACTTGTGGGGAGATGCCTAATGTACAAGAGGAAAATTTTTCACAATTAGAACAATCAGCCATTGGAATAATCTCCCCATGGAAGTGGGAAATTATTGGATTCCCTAACACTGGACACTGTCAAGATTCAGCTAGACAGGGTGCTAGGACATCTAGTCTGGGTCATGTTTTGTGTAGAAAGGGTGGACCAGATGGCCCTTGAGGTCTTTTCCAGCCTGCGTTTCTATGATTCTACGATCAGACAAGTGCCCAGAGAGTTTATGGGGTACCTTCTTCGGAGACATTCAAAGCTTGACTGGACACGGACCCAAGCAAACTGATCTAACAGTGAAACTGGCCCTGGTTTGAGCAGGGGTTTGGACAAGAGATCCTTTCCATACCATGCTCCATGATACCATGAGCCACGATAATACCACTTGCTTGCAAGAGATGCATGCTGGATTTGTGCAAACCCCCTCTGACAGTTGGACTCCTTAACAACAGAAAGGAGCAGGCACCCTCTTTCTGCATGGCACGGTACTACGATGGTGGATGGATTGTGATTAGAGTATAATGAAACTGAGTAGAGGATAGTGCTCTAGCCATGCCACTCAAGACTTGGAAGTCAGATGCAGAGACTGTGAGAATGAAGACTTAAGCCCACTGTAGGAGAGGATCTGGTTCGAGATCATCTTAACCTGAATGTGCACAAGTCCATGGGATCTCATGAAATCCATCCACTGGTCCTGAAGGAGCTGGCAAACGAAGTTGCTAAGCCGCTGGCCATCATATTTGAGAAATCATGGCTGTCAGGTGAAGTTCCCAATGACTGGAAAAAGGGAAATATAACCCCCATTTTCAACAAGTGGAAATGGAAGACCCAGGGAGCTACAGACCAGTCAGTCTCACCTTTGCGCCTGGAAGGATCATAGAGCAGATTCTCCTGGAAACCATGCTA